ATCAGCCTAGCTCACAGCAACCTCAATCTCCTGGGCTCAAGCAATCCTCCTGCCTCAGCCTCCCAATTAGCTGGACTACAGGCATGCGCCACCATGCCCGGCTAATTTTTCTGTTTTTAGTTGAGACGGGATCTTGCTCTTTCTCAGGATGGTCTCGAGCTCCTGAGCTCAAGCAGTCCTCCCAGAGTGCTAGGGTTACAGGCACGAGCCACTGCGCCCAGCCTGACTTTCTTTTATTTCATCTTCCATGTATTGTAATTGGAAGTATTTTCAGGTTTTTGCTCCCCTTTGAAAGGAAAAGAATAAAGCTAACAACACTTGCTTGAAAACGTGTGCGTTTATTGAGAGTCCGTGGTGGCTGCCTGTTCCCTCCCCTTCCACGCAGCAGAACGCCTTGCCCCACTCCTGGAGCAGCCTCCAGTGTCGCAGTGCTAAACGAGGGGAGTCCCCACTTCACCTGCAGGTGCCCATGCAGAGGGGGTTTCCACCTGACTGGCACCCAGTCCTGCCGGGCTTGCTTATTCGGTTTCCGTTTACGTGCTGTGGTTTCAGGATTTGCTGGAGGAGAACCCGTAGGTGAAGGAGAGAGGTGAGACAGGAAAGCTACATATAAAATGCAGACCTGAGAGCTTTAAAAAGGTGTTGAGGGAAGAGCGCAGTTCCAGGCACTGGGGGTCATGGAAACAGCATTAGGACCTTTGGGAGACCCCGAGGCGCAGCCTGCAGTTGAGTTTGGAAATTGACGTTTGTGTTGATGGCCCAGAGACAAGCTGCGGTCACTGCACTTCTAAGGAACAGTCCGTTGTATGAAGACGGGAGAAGCCAACAGCACCAGAAACATGCAGATGTCAGGGGCAGCCTGTGGCTTAGGCTCGAGGAGGCCGGCTTTGTTCAGAAGCATCTCTTTGGTTGACTGGTTGGTTGAAGCCCGTTTTAAAAGGTCGGGAAGCTTCACAGAGCTGTGACCCAACCCTCAGAGAAAATCTTTCTCTACAGAGGCAGATATTCTGGAGAGCTGAAGTTTCGTCTTTAACTCAAAAACACCTTCACAGTAACTGATTTGGACATACATGATTCTAAAACGAGTTCTGTGTGTTACTGACCTGCCTGAGGCTGTTAGATGTCCCCAGACAGCCGTGCTCTCTGGGCTCAGGCATCTACTGTGTTCTTGCTCTTCCTTTGAGATTTGACCGACAGAGCCTTGCTGTTGCGCTGGTCTCTCTGCATAGCAACACTCGCGCTTTTGAGTTTTCTGCTGTGATCAAAACTGCCACAGTTATTAGAACCGTGTGCCCACGGGGAGCCACTGGCTCAAAAGAGGCTCATCTGAGACTATCAAAGATTGGCATAATATTTGGACAGAAGCAGTAAAGTGTTTTTTTTTTCTATCATGTTGGTTTATAATGACATTTTCTGGCCAATGGAGGTAAAGTATCTTGAAGAAGGGACACCTTTTTCTCACTCTGTGCTAAGGACCTGCGTGGGCTGGTGGTGTCCTTGCCTGGCCTCTTCTCAGCTGGTCTCGATGATGTGCTGTGAGGTCTTCAAAATTACCACCGCATCCCCCGCCCTGCTTGGACTGGCTCTGGGCCCACATTTCACCGCAATGTGTCCTGCCTCCACTTACCCCTGAGGCCTGGAGCTGACCACGGCAAGGTCAGGAACAGAAGGTCTAGAGTGGCCCACTCCCCGACCTCATTCCTGCCAGCCACATGCCTGGCCACATGCCAGCCCTGCCTGATGCCAGCTGTGGTCAGCCCCTTGAGTCCAGGGCTCTTCCACGCTGGCCACTGTCTTCCCCAGAATCACATTCCATAAGCTCTCAGGGAAGCCGTGGCCCAGCCAATCTGCTGAACTTGCTTCTGGAAGCTTTTGTCTACCCAAGGCAATGATGCGCTTACCTTAAAACAGCTAGCTTTGTGCTTCCTGCTCAGGATTTTGGTATTAAAAACATATTAGTTAAGGATACCTACATAGGTGGGAAAACAAGAGACAACAGCAATTAACAGAGTCACCCCCAATTCAGGTGAGCGGTTGTGTCCGGGTCGAATGTGGGTGGGTGTCATCTCCAGGAGCAGCTCGGAGGTGATGTCTGCTTCTTAATCTAGGAAGTAGCTTTGTGGGTGCTCTATTTAATATCTTTAAATTATAAATATAGTACATTTCACGGTAAAAATGAACTCGAAAAGACATAAATAAGCACTGTGGCGTGGTCTAAAAGGCCCTTCTGTAAGTCAAGGATATGAGTTTAATAGAAGGAATTTATGACTATTCGGTAGAATCTATTTGTTGGTTTTTCTTCACTTCCTGGTGCATAGCTTGATTCTGGGATAAGCGAGTTTGCTGGATAGTTGAGCAACAGAATGTCAACCAGTTTTAGAAAAGGGGACACAGGGAAGGTTACTATTTAAAGGAGTTGCGGTGCACCAACTTCTCCACCTGTCAGACCCAGGAGGGCGGCTTTGAGTTCAGTTCAAGAAATAGAAATGCCCGGTGCAGGCTGCCGCTTTGTCACGCTTCTCTTATGATGGGCAGAGCCTGCAGTGGCCATAGGTGCTCAGTGGGGTGATGTGGTTTAAAACTTGGGGCATGAATAGAGAACTCTAAATCCTACCTGCAGGCAGAGTGTGTGGGAAGAAAGACCCTGAGAGCCGCCTTTCCCTGCGAAGGCCCAACCGAGGGTGATGTCACGGATCTTGATTGTGCGTGTCGGAATCCACAGAGAGAGACCTGATCAATAAGTTGCCAGCAAAGTCCTTTGGCTGCATATTTTTTTTTCTCCAATACTCTAATGATATTCTATTTCCTGGGAGTTTTAACTCTTTCAAGTCGCAAGTGGAACATCTGACTTATACAGGATCGTTCACGTAAGAATTTACATTAAACCAGCTAGAAATAGAGAGATAGATGGATAATAGATATCTGGATAGATGAAAAGATTGATTGGTTGATCTCTATGAATCTATAAATAAATACATTAATTTAAAGAATTTAACACCGGGATGGATCTATTAATATGTTGCCTGACAGATTGAGACGACATCACTGGTAACCAATTTGGTTTTAGATTCTTTAAGAGAGCTTCTAATAAAAAGGCAGCAATGTATAAAGAAATGACTATTTTAGGACTTTTTCTACCTATGATATTTTATACTTAAACAGAATTGATGATTTTTAAAATAAAAATTTAGGATTTTTCTATATAATTTAGCAAAGCCAACTTTACAATATGTGGACAAATCTCTCCAAATGATAAGGGCTAACAGCTTCTATTTTTTCAGTACTTGCTGTGTACCCAACACTGGGACCCAGTAGGCACCTCACCTACATTTCGTTTATCTGTTAGTAAGGCCATGGAAAGCTGGGTTCATCCTCTTGGTGAGTCAGGAAATGGATAGCCATCAGGGTGACCCGCCTGTGCTTTGGGGAGACCTTCCCTCCCCCACGTTCTTGTTCTCCCCTCTCTATCGCACAGCCCAGTTGTACCCACACAGCGTGCCCTTGTTGGCTGGAACGCCAGAGACTTGGGGACAGAGGGGTTGGGACAAATGGCAGACATCCAAGAAATTGTTGAGAGGTTGGTTATCTGAGCCAGGTAGTCACGAGTTCAATTCCTTGTTGTATATAAGACATTTCACAAAATACAGCGAGAATCTTCTAACAGCCGTCGTTATCCCATTTTTCTCTGCCCCAGCACCCAGGAAGGTTAGGACACGTCCCTACCGGCAATACTGGCTCTCCCCAGGGGGTTCACTGCCTTTCGGTGGTATCAGCTTGGGGCGGGGGACAACTAGTGAAGTCGCTGCCTCATTTAAAACAAGTAACTGTTGAAAATTTATGGAGTATTCCAAAAGAAAAGAAATTTAAGAAAATCAGAGTACAAAATGGGCGGTGAAAAGAAAGTCAATTTCTTGGCCCTGCATTGCCCTCTCCGGAGGTAGCACAGTTTCTCTGTCTTCTGGGTCCTTCTGGAGATATTCCCGGCACACAAGCATTTGCTGGGGAAGCGCACCTGACTCCCTGCCCCGCATTTTGCTTCGCTCACTGAAGAATGTATCCAACAGATGCTTCCACATATATGAGAGCATCTGCCTCACCCTTATAACCTGCTGCAGAGCCTGGACTTCTTGTAAGTCACCTAACTGGCCTCCTATTGATGGACATACAGTGGCCTCCAGGCTTTCGATATTCAGTGTGGAGGCAAGCGACACGCCGTGCTCATCCGTAAATCCACTGCGCAGTAGAGCTATGCACAGGGACCTGATAAACTGCCTCCCACCTCTGTACTTGCCGTAGCACGTAACTTGGCATCTGTGTTTCTGCAATAGTGATGATAACTCACACCTCCGAGAAGCTGCCTGTGGATCAGGCACTGTGCTAAATAAACACTTGCACGGAGTATTATTTTATTATGTCATCACTTCGACTTTAATATCGATATTTAGATAAATAATATGAATGTGTTATATAAAATGTACTTATGTGAATTACATAAAATATTATTATATATAAATTTATTACAGAAAACTAAGTGATATAATAAATAGATATTTAATATCTTGGTAATCCTCACATAGATTTTATAGATGAGGCTGGATAGTTTAAATATGGTGGAGGTGGGATTTGAACCCAAGTACTCTGGCCCCAGAGTCAAGGTACCAAATTGCCAACTGTGTTGCTCACTGTAAAGAATGTTATATAAGTTCCTAAGGACTCCACAAGAGCACTATGGCTTTAGAACCAAATATTAATATTATGCGTGATGGCATTGTGTACAAATGGAGCTCCTGACTGAGCTTTGGGGAAAATCTCACCAGGAATGATGTCACACATTGGAAGTTTTGAGAGCACGTGGCCCTTGGGTACTGATTGCTCGAGTTCCCTGAGGTCGTGCTGTAGCCCCAAAGCCTGTCCCCAGAAAAGCGCCGTGTGCTGTAGAAGTCAGTACATTAGCTTGGACTCAGCAGATACTCTAAGCACAACTCTCATTTTATTTTTAGTAGACACGAAAGTATTCCCTGGAAGCAGCAAGGAGCAAGGAGGAGCGCGTGTGACTCTGTCTGCTCCCCCAGTGCAACAGAAGCCCGCTAAACACTTCCTTCCCGATGGGGACAGTTCTCCAGGTGATCACTGTCAGTCTAGTGACCTTTCTGAGCCCACAGAGAGACGACATCAAAGCTTCCTGAAACCCAGAATCCCCTTTACTGGGTTTCTTGGCCCCGTACAAGATGTACACGCATCTCCACAGGAAGATGAGGGTGCTCAGATAGACAGAGAGCTCCTCACAGGTGAGGAGCGAGGTGGCGGGTTGAGCTAATTCTTTCTGGATATTCCTGCGGAAAGTGGTGCCGCGTCTTCCTGGGCCTGGTCACACAAGCTCGTCTGACCACGCTGCCCCTTCTCCGGCTGGAGAAGGGGAGTGGCAGAACCGGCAGGTTTAAATGGTGGGCAAGTCCAGCTCCCAAGCGTCCAGAAGGCAGCCCTATGTTGGTCAGTGACTCCCAGTCCTACTGTGTGCAAGGCCAGTACCACTGAGACCAAGAGGAAGTCCCTCCCCACCTGACTCCCAGGCACACAGCAGGTTCTCGGCTCAGCTAAGGCAGGTTTGGGGTGCAAGCGTGGCTGCTCCAAAGGCGGCGGGTCCACCAGGCTGCCAGAGGCCCCCATGACTGACAGCAGGGACGGCGGCTGAGGAGTGTAGCCCCACCTGTGCCCCCACTTAGCAGGCACAACACGCACCCAGAGACACGTTTGAGACAGGTCCCAAACGCAGCCTCTCACAGAGGAGGGAGCCAAGAATTAGAACCCAGTTGTCGTTTCTCGGGAGGCCAAGCTGCTGATCACTGCTAATAAGGCAGTGAACAATGAGATATGAAGATATGAAAGAACACAAGAATAAAGGAGAAAAATGGTCTGTGGTCCCAATTGTATCAGTGGGAAACTTTGGATTTCTTATCACTCTAAAGATTTCTCAAATAACTGTGGAAAACAACAGGAAGAAAGGTACCAGATTATCTAGCTTTGGGTAGTAAAAGTTCAATTGGTTATGGTAATTGATAAAGATAATTGCACTGGCAACCATGTGAATCCCTAGCTCTTCATTCGTTAATCCATTGGAGAAGCACTTATTAAACACCTACTGTATGTCAGGCTGTGCTCCGTGCTTCCTGCCCTCCAGGCTCTCAGTCATGCAGGAGACAGTCGCAGCATGGCTATGCCTGTGTGGTGGGCTATTGGGAAGCCGAGGACGCCCCCAACACTCTGAACAGGGTCTGAGCAGAGATGTCTTCCCCAAGGAAGTGATTTTGAGCAGGAAGTTGAAAGTATGCTAGAGGTTTAAAATTCAGACCCAGGGCAAATAGCATCGCAGGCGGAGGAGAAGGCGCACAAGGCAGAGTCGCTGGAAGAACGTGGCTGACTGAGGACGTGTGGAGGGGCCAGGGCCAGGGTGCAGCGGGGATGGGGTGCTGTGAGTCCGCAGGGGTCACGTGGGTCAGGTTGGAAGGCCTTGCTGAACCCACTAAAGAGTTCGGACTGAAGGCAGAGCCAAGTCTTCGAAGGGGAAGAGACATAATTAGATTTTCTCTGGAGGAAACTGTCTCATGAGCAGTGTGGAGGGCAGATGGAGAGGGGCCAGCCAGGGGCTGAGACCCAGCCAGTGGGTGGTGTCGCTGTTCAGGGGGTGGGGACACAGTCACAGAGACTTCCAGGATCCAAGGGACAGGTTTTTTTCTGAGCAGAGAAGAAGATGGGATGTCAGGGCTGGCCCTTGGGTTGCTGGTTCTGCTGGTGGAGAGGATGTGGGGAAGGATGCACAGAAACCGTGGCTTCCCTGGGTACAGGGTGAGCCAGAGAGGCATTCCCGAGCAGCAGTGGAAATGGTGCGGCGAGGAGAGTTAACTCTGCAGGAGGGGCTGGGGGCTGGTGGTTAGACCTGAGGGAAGGCGGGCCACAGGGAAATCCTCCAGATGGAACAAGAGCAAATATTTGGGAAAATGAAGGAGCAGGACTTGAGACCCTCTAAGCAGTGTGGTGTTGGTAGAGACTCCCAGGTGACAGCTGGGGGTGGGCCACCCACCATGAACAGCCATGAAAAGTGTGGTTGGCTTGGGCTTGCAGGTAGTAAGGACCATGGTGGATTCTGAGTAGAGATCGGACGGCTAGTCTAGGCCAGAGATGATCCAGGCGTCAATGGTGACAATTACCACAGGGGGTTCAGATATAAGAGTCACAGGAGATGCATCCTGTGGCCAGGTGAGCCCCTGATGGTCATCTCTTCACTTCCAGCAGAACAAGCTCCCTTGGGCACCTAGCTTGGCGCCATGGAGAGGCGCAGGGTAGCTGTGACATGGTTCAGCCCAGGAGGGAGTCCCAGGCTTGTGGGGTTAAGACATCATCTTCCAACCCCATGTGGGTCCTGCCTTGGAAGGGGAGGGAGGCTTTTTGAAGGTTTGCGCTCAGCCTGGAGGTAGGAGGTCACTGGACTTCGTGGAGATATCAGAGCACATGGGGCAAGGAATGAGGAAAAGGCTGTCGGGTTCGGCACTGGAGTGGTTCGGGGAGGCTGTGAGGTGGGGCAGGTGCAGTGGGTGAGGACGGGGCTCAGGGCGGTGGCCTCAGGGTAGACTGAAGGATGTTGTGTTCCAGGCTGAGGCATTGGCCAGTAAGTGGCCAGCAATTGATGCTGTTGAATCAATTCATTTCCTGACCGTTTCCACAAGGGAACATCAAAATGGCCCCAGGAAGAGGCCAAAACCAGCATAGAGAGAAAATCATTCTAATTACTTATGCAGAGCTGGTGGTAGTCTCTGGCAAATGAAGAGGAGGGGTAAATAATTGAATACCAGTCCTCCCTCCTTATATCATTAGTGTAGACATAGCATAGATTAATACACTGTCCCCAAATAACTGAACTGTAATAATTGTGCAAGACACACTTAATGTGAGGCACAGAATACCAAAGTTTCCTTTCATTGTGAGCAAAGGCGCTGGAAACATCTGCAGGGACACCGCCATGGCATAATTAGCCCTTGTGAAGCTGCTTGAATGTGAACGTCCCTCCCTGTGACCAGGGCATCTGTGAGGGTCTGTGGTGGGGCATGATCTTGTCGGCTTAACGAGGCCCATTAACAATCCGCTGGCATTTCCATTTTCACGACTGTCTTCTATGTCTAATGGTATTGAGGAAGCAGGTGAAAATTGCTCGGTGCCCTCTAAATGGGATTCTAAATCTTCTCTCCCAGGAGACTACACCTGCTGTGACTTGGTGGTGAAAATAAAGGAGTGTAAGAAGAGCGAGGACCCCACCACACCTGAGCCCTCGCCAGCGCCCCCCGAGGGGCCAGAGAGTCCCGCCCCATGTGACGACTGCTCTGAGCCTCAGCAAACGCCTGCAAACTCCTTGACCTTACAGGTAAGGCCTTCTGTGCGTCATGGAGGGACTCCCACCCGGGGAGACCCTTCCTGGGGCATCAGTGGGTGACCCCACTTCCACCTCTGAGGCTGGAAACCTGACTCCCATTCTCAGTGGCTGTGTGACTCCGGGCAGGTCCCCGAGGCTTTCTGTTTCACTATCCGAATGACGGAGATGCCACTGAGCCCTCCAGAGCAGAAGCAAATACTGTCGGCAGTGACAATAATCACACCAGTGACAGGTGCCCAGACGGCACACAGGTCACTCACCGACACCAGAGCCTTCAATCCTCATGAGACCCCAAGGAGGCAGAAGCCCCTGGACACCACCCCATCTTCAGATGAGGACGTCGAGCCAGTGAAAGATTGGGGAAGTTGCCCAAAGTCACGCAGCCATAAATGGGAGGATCTGAAAGTTTTCGTTCGCCATCTTTTCTGATTGTAGAAGTAATATGGACGCATTTTTTAACGTTCAAGACATGCAGAGATATAGAACTGAAGAGGGCAAACAAGCTAAGAGAAAGCCCCTGCTAAGGGCATATTGCGTAGTCAGCCACACCTTCCCTGTAAGCACTTAACGAGGCTGCAAACCTCCCTGCCACTGTGGAGATGGCACCATAACCACCTGCTCAGTGGGCCCTGGGGGAGACACTTGTGGGGACCCCAAAGCAACCTAAGCCTCAAGGGCTGTCCTTGGGCGGGTGAGCCATCGAGGCAGTGGCCACATCTGGGCCAATAGGCCATTCCCAGGGGCCGTATCTCCAGGCCTGGAACTCTCCTGAAGCTTCGGCACACCCTGTGACTTATGCGTTGTGGTGCCTGGTACCTCGAGGCTGGTGCTGGCTGAGACGACTCCTTTCCCAGTTCGGCTACCAGGGCCACATGCATGACATGGACAGAGCCCACGCTGCCCTCCCCCTGGGAACCCTGAGCTCCCCAGGGCTGGGAGCAGAATGGGGCAGAGGAACATTTTGGTCATGGCAGCACACCTGGTGAACCTTTGCCGAGCACCTGCTATGTGCAGGGCTCAGGCCAGTGGCTGTGAGCGATGCGTCGTCAGTGTGACATGGCCCGTGCTTTCCAGAGCTCACAGCCTAGCACGGAGGTAAACGTGTGGATCACTCTTGCTCGAGGCCCTTAGTGAAGTATCAGGATGCTTGGGCTGAATGGGGAGCTCCAATGGGCTTTTGGGGGAGACAGGATGGGCCAATGGGTTTCACTGTGGGTGGCACTCCAGGCAAGGGGACAATCTGAGCAGAGGCACTCAAGGGGTAGCAAGTTAAGACAATGAAAGGCAATGCGGGAAAAGCACAGGACTCCCCAACTACCCCGACCCTCAGCTTTGCATCTGGCAAAGGGAAGGAGATATGCCTGCCTTCCCGAATCCATGTGATTCCTGGAGACGACGAACACAGGAGCGGCCGGCCGGCGTCTGGCACAGAGCCGGGGGCAGGGAGTCTTGCTCAGTAGGCCCGTGGGGGTGGCATAGGGCATGCAGGCGGAGAGATGAGGCTGAAGTGAGACACAGGGACTTTGGACCTGTTTTGTGGAGCTCCCAGAGCCATTCCGCGCAGGCCAAGATTTCCTCCCAACAATTTCTACCCAAAAGGAGTTGTTTCCTTTAGCCGCAGTTATGGTTTCTCCTGAAAAGGCACATTTTTCACACTGGGTGGATGATCTGTGTTTGTGCCCCTTAAGGCGTCCAGTCGCCAACAGATTCAAGTGACTCGTCGCACCCCAATCCTGCCCCACCGTGTCTCTCTGGAGTGTGGACCGTGGGGCTCTCAGCTCTTGGTCTTTGGGGAACGAGTGACTTGACGGGGCAGAAGGCCAAAGGGGCAGGTGTTCCCTTCGCACTCTAAGGTTCGACGCTGGTTACTGGTTCATCCTGCCCAGTGGAGCCCTTGGTGCCGGCCAGGACTGACCACCAGGCCCTGTGTCACCGCTTGTCTGTCACCGTCTTTACACAGGTCCTGGAAGAAAACTGTGATGTGCTTTTTGCACTGTGGCTTTGGTCTCTGAGTGTTGCACTTTCAAACAGCTTCTTGGCCAAATGGGATGGCTGTGCTGCCTTTCTGTGTCACTTCTCTGAAAAGTAAAATATTTCCTTTGCTCCAATTAGGAAGCGCTGGAAGTTCGTAAACCTCAGTTCATTTCTCGCTCGCAAGAACGGCTGAAGAAGCTGGAACACATGGCACAGCAGAGACGGGCACAGCGGAAGGAGAACCCGGGGCAGAAACAGAGCCTCCTTCCCGTCCGCGCCAACAAGAAGCAGTTCACCGTTCCCCACCCTCTTAGTGGTAAGCGGCAGGTGGCCGGGGTGGGAGGGTTCTTGGGACCGGAGCCTTCACCTGGGGGTGACGGTTCCAGATGCTGCCACTGACTCACACGGAACCCGTGTGGGGCCTGAGTGGCTGACCCTCAGCGTCATAAAGCCTGCCCCGGGGGCCAGCCCCTGGGAGAGGTTACATATGGGCACCGAGCTCAGCAGAAACAGCTTGGGACACAAATTTACCATCACAGCTGGGAAAGAAGCCACAGCACTGTAGCAGCCAGGGTAGCAAGTTCAAATTCTTGGCTCCTAACAGATATTTGCAAGAGGTCCCCTTTGCCCTTTATAGATTGCAAAACAGATTTCAGGGTGAGAGGTTGACTCCAGCTTGTCTGCATCAACATTCGTCATCTCGAAAGCCCTTTCCTGCTGCGAACTCAGAGAGCGGATGGCCGGCTTCCCAGCACCGCGAGGCCAGTGTCGAGCTGACCCTGGGAGGCAGGGCGCTCATTCACTCACTGGAGAAGGAGTTATCAGGAACCTTCTCTGGATGCCGTGCTAGGAGCTGGGAGTAACAACGTGAGCAAGACTGACCTCACTGCTTTCTTCACAGAGCTTATAAACAGACTATTAAACCAGCAAGAATAACAAAAAGAGACAAAGGCAGGGATGAGGAACATCGGAGCACATTCTTGTGGCCTGCCAACCCAAATCTTAAAATCTGGAGGCCTGGAGAAACCTCAGTTTTATTCCTTTGGATAGAGGAATGAGATCTTTCTTCCTTAGGAAAATGTTTTGGTCCCTAGGAGGTGAAATCGTGAGTGTCGTTCTGAATGAAAGTCTCCTGGGGAAATAGCCATATTCAGTAAATTCAGCTCAGCAAACATAACCAAGATCTTTTAAGGGGGCCAGAGGGACAGGAGAAAGGGTGTCGTAGTAGAATTCCTCTCGACCTCCCTTGCCCTCTGGCGAGCTGAGTCTCCTTCCTCCCACCAGAGCACTGCTGGCAGAGTTGTCTAAAGGCCTTGGTGAAAGGTGAACTTGAACGCGTCCTTCTCACGGTTAAGGATTTGGCAAAACACCTGCTGCCCCTCCCCCATGACACCTTCCAGTATGCCAATCTGAGGAACTCAGCAAAATGGACGTGCAGAGAAATTCCCCCACGGAAAAATGTGTCTCTAACCAGCGTTTCAAGCCCCCTGGCAGATACAGGCTCGATTTGGGTGTGCTCTCCAGAAAGCTCTTTCGTCGCTGGCCCAGCAAAGAGCCACCTGGGTTCAGGCACAGACATCTCGAGGTGCTGTGAAGACCAAATGCCGGCCACGCTGGGCCCCCAGGGCCGTCGATGGCCACACTTGCCCCGGGCAGGGCTGGGTGCTGGATCCAGGCTGTCCTGAAGATGCTGCTTGATCAAGTGATCAGGCTACAAGTCTGTCACCAACAAATAAAGGAGGGCGCCACTTTAGAGCTCAAGATAATGCACGTGCATAGCCGAAGCGGCATCCGAGGGGCTTCCTTTTCAGCCTGGTCCCTTCCCTTTGAGTGGGAAGACACAGAGACCCGGGGGCATGAGCGGACTTGCCGGGTGTGGTGCTGTGCTGGGTCCCTCCTCTCCGGGGCCAGCACCTCCCGGCTGTGCACTGCCAGCCACCAGAGGTCTGGAGTCCCGTCATTCCAGACATGGAGGTGATGCGGCCTCGGACATCTGTGTTGGTTTCCTGGGGCTGCTGTAAGAATTTACCACAAACAAGATGGCTTACTAGAACAGAAACTTACTTTCTTACTGCTCCGGAGGCCAGAAGTCAAAATCGGGGGTTAGTTCCTTCTGGAGGCTCCGAGGAAAACCCTGGGCCACTCTCCCAGCTTCTGGGGGCTTCTAGCGAGCCTTGGAATTCCGTGGCTCGTGGACTCGGCACTGCAGTCTCCACCTTGGTCCTCATGCGGCTTCCTTCCCTGGGTCTGTGTCTCTGTGTTCCAAGTTTCTCTTCTCATGAAGACACTAGTTGTTGGACTAGAGCTCGCCCTAACCCAGTGCAACCTCGTCTTAGCACAATTGCATCTCGAAGACCCTATGTCCACAAAGGGTCACATTGACAGTTATGGGGGCTTAACACTTAAACATATCTTTTTGAGGGGACACAGTTCTCACTACATCATCCAACGGTGGTGTTTGCCCAAAACAAACATTCTTACAAGTCTGCATTCCTTTAAATGAAAAGCTTAAAATCAGATATAATAAAAGGCGACCAGGCCCCGTCCATAATTTTAAATAACCAAGGCACCTTTTTACCCCCCAGTTTCCGACAGTCCTGGAGACGTGCATGCTCTCGGTGGGACTTGGCCGGCTCGGATTTGACAGCCGTTCTGACCTGGCCCTGCAGTATTTATGTGTTGATGAGAGCTTTACTTTCGTGTTTGTTTGTGTTAGGTCAATGAAATCGGAAAACCTCTGAAACCAGAGCCTCGTGTGAGCTTGGGCAAGTGAGAGGGAATGTTTAAGGCCCCATTAAACAAGTCTGCAGTGCACATCTTGTCTTCAGCCTGTCTGCTGGCAAGATGATAAAAGCGAAATGCAGATGTTTTTCTTACATGCTAAATTAGTTAATAAATCATATGCGTGAGCAGGCTCTGGCTGCGGCGTCAAGGCGTCTGGTAAAGAGAAGACTCGCATTTGCTTTCGGTGCTGGGGTGGCTGCCTGGGATCGGGGCTCCCCAAGCGGTCTTGGCTCAGGGACAGACCTGAGAGGTTCAGGTGGCAGCTCTGGCAGCTGACGATGCCACCGAAGTGAGCACCTGGACTTGCAGGGGCGATTACGGCGAGGACCGGGGGCCCAGCGATGCTTCAGGAAATCCGAGCAGCCGTCCGGCTCGGGGCAGTGACACGTGTACTAATTAGGGTTAGGCCCCTTGTTTGGAGGCAGGAGAATTTTCACAAACAACTAGAGACTCCAGAGGGACCAGGGAGTGGCATTATAAAGGTCCTGGCTATAGTGTCTAGCATATCTGTACAATCTTGTCACCTGTAGTTTGAACCCTTGAAGCCAATAAACACAATGCTGAAGTCTCTTCCCCTCCCAGGAGCCACCTGGCCCACCTTCACACAGCTGTAGCAGTGACAGAAGGAACTTCTTCGTCCATCTTTAAAGCTTGTTTGGGAACCCACTGTGTGCTGGGCACAGTCCATGGTCTCTCCACCTTGTGGGGAAGCAGGCAGGTGCAGAGGCAATGACCATGGGATTTGCTTAGTGCCAAGAAATGGGTTTGTCTGGGTTGCCATGGAAACCCACAGGCAGTGGACTTGCTCCCACTCTGGGGACATGGAAGGGTCCTGGTGGGGGAGACCTGAGGATTGGTCTGTGTGGATGGGATGAGTAGAAACTATGCAGGTGAATCGCGGCACGGGGAGGGTGATGGGGAAAGCAGTGGTGACAAGTCGCTGGGGACACGCAGTTTCAGCTATGACTGGACTGTAGAAGCGGGGGCAGGACGGGGCAGTGGAGGGGCCAGAGAGAAGCCCGAGGCAAGATGAACCGTTTTTGTTGCTACTAAGTGGAACTCACTCTGAGGTCAAAGCTGAGGCTGGGAGCCGTGTAGTGGAGCTCCAGGCAAGATGCAGCGAAGGCGGGCCGGAGGGCAGGGCTGCACAGAGGGGCTGGATGCCAGAGGTTCTCCGGAAGAAGGTGGCAACTGCCGTGCTGCGGAGGAGAAAAGCTGAGACCCAGGGAAGCTGCAGGAAGATGGCAGGAGGCCGGGCTTGGCCGTCAGTCTCTGACATTACCTACTCTCTGATCCGAGGCCTCTCTCTTCCTCCCAAGTCAGGGTTCTGCCTGTTCAGTCCACGAGAGTGGCCTGGCAGCTATAAACCAGGCTTCCCCATCATTGCTGCACAGCTGCTGGGGTTCCACATGGATCAGGTCAAGCTCAAAGGCCGACATCACCAGGAGTTAGAGTGTTTAGAACCTTGTCATAGCTTCTACCTTAGGGGATGAATCCAGAGCAGGATAAGCTAGAAGCTTGGTACAGCACCCGCAGGTCCTAGGGCATACAGCACCTGCAGCTCATGGATGGTAGGGCACCTACAGGTCATAGATAGTACAAAACCTGGAGGTCGTAGGGGATACAGCACCTGCCGGTCATAGATGGTACAGCACCTGCAGTTCCTATGGGACAGAGCACCTGTAGGTTGTAGGGGATACACCACCTGCAGGTCTTAGAGGATAGAGCACCTGAAGATCATAGGGGATACAGCAGGTATAGGTCATAAGGGGTATAGCACCTGCAGGTGGTAGGAGGTACAGCACCTACAGGTCTTAGGGGATACACCACCTGCAGTTCGTAAGAGAGACTGCACCTGCAGGTCGTAGGGGTTACAGCAGTGGGAAGTCTTAGGGGATAGAGTACCTGCAGGTCTTAGGGGATACACCACCTTTAGTTCCTAGGGGATACACCACCTGCAGGTCGTAGGGGATACGGCAGCTGCAGGTAGCAGCGGGTACAGCACCTGAAGGTCGTAGACACTCCTTCAGTTGCAGCCTTCACCATCCACTATTAACACACCTTGGCTTCCAGTGTGCACGGAATCTCCTGGAACCTGGCCCTGGCTGCCACCCACTGGGCTGCGGGCCCAGCTTCAGAGCCTCAATGGCTGCCACCCCCGACCTAAAACCCAGACCCCCCTCAATCTGACGCTGCCCACCTCCATCCTTCTCCGTTGGTCTCATTTACTGTCCTCCATAACTCCAGAACATTCCTGATCAGGGTCCCTAAACTGCCTGATAGAAGCAGTATCTGCCCCTCCTCCTCTCTACACGACACAATCCTGCGTCACCTCAGAAGCCCCTCTCAGGTCCAGCCTCTTCATTCAACTCTCTCCCCCGGGCCCTCCCCTCTGCTTCCTGTAGTGCACACGCCGGCCTGCGTGCTGCCTTTCACTTTCCACTGAGCACTTTGCTGTGAGTCCTGCTGCTGCCAACTCAATGCTGAAGTCAACTCGGAAAGCCTGACAGTGCTCACGCACAGGGTCCTCCC